CAAAGGACCCAGCGCTGGTCAACCTGTCTAAGGTTTGTGAGTCAGTGTATGCGCAAGATGGGGTCCTGCTGTACTGTGACCGCGTCGTTGTCTCCATGTCCCTTCATCATACTGTACTTCAGCACCTCCACGCTGCCCATCAGGGCAAGTCGGCAATGGAACGACGGGCCTGCTCCATTGTTTACTGGCCTGGTATGCCTAATGACATCCAGTTGACCAGGGAGTGATGCGTAGACTGTAACCGCAATGCCTCCTCGCAGGTGGCCACACCTCCCATGCCGGCATCACCGCCATCCACGCCATTTGAGGAGGTGTTCGCAGACTTCTTCGACTACAGGGTCACCACTACCTAGTCGTTGGCGATCGCCTCTCCGGCTGGGTGGAAGTCATGAGCTCTCCCGTGAACACCAATCTCGGGGGCTCCATTGGGCTTATCCGTCACTTAAGGGCTTTCTTCGCCACGTTTGGTGTGCCCGAGGAGTTGTCGAGTGACGGGGGCCTGGAGTTCTCGGCAGGGCACACAGCAGACTTCCTCCGCTTTTGGCAGGTCAAGCACTGCATGTCCTCGGTTGGGTTCCCCCAGTCTAATGGAAGGGCGGAGGTGGCAGTCAAGACGGTGAAGCGCCTAATAGTCTCAAACACCGGCCCAACCGGGAGCATCGACCATGACCGCTTTCTGCGTGCGATGTTGCAACTGTGTAATACACCTGACCCCGACTGCGACCTGTCGCCCGCGCAAATCATCTTTGGTCACCCCCTCAGGGACTCGCTGTCATTTGTTAATAGGCTGGAGAAGTTCTCCAATCCTCACATCCATTTGCTTTAGCGTCAGGCATGGGCGGCAAAGGAAGAGGCCCTCCGAACTCGGATGGCCCGCACCACTGAGTCTCTAAGAGAACAAGTACGACCGCTCCGCCCTCTCATAGTCGGGGAGGTGGTGTTCCTCCAGAACCTAGTTGGCTGTAGCCCGCGGGCATGGGACAGATCTGGGGTGGTAGTAGAGTTACTAGGACACGACTAATACAGCGTCAGGGTCGATGGGTCTGGCTGCCTCACCCCAGCCATCCCTCGCACTCACCCAGAGAGCGCTGCGCCCCTGCCTGCGTCCAACGACGAGACACACGACTTAGGTCCTGCCAACCCGGGGTAAGTACCTCAAAGAAAGTCCAAAACACACAAGGGGGGTAAGAGATAATATTGTTATTAAGACCATTTACCAATAAACACAAATAATCAATAATCAGATTTTGCAAAACCAGAGAGAAGAAAATAACACACCAGCTGTGGGAGATCGGTTTGGTCTCTCGACGAGCGGGGGCCCATCAAAAGGTTTTATTCACAGATGAGATATGACATAGCACACACACATTAAAAGGTGCCCCCTCCTCCTCCTTCACAGACAGCGAACTTTCCCAGGTTCAGAGAGCTTGTTGTGATATCAGAACTGCAGACTTACAAGGTCGACTTTCCTTGCGGCAGGGGCCGGATAATAACACCAGATGTTTCTCAGACAAAATCATCTTCCATGCATCTAATACTGTATTTACCATGTTAAATGAAAATAAGGCTAATGAACTCTGTTTGAAAAAACAATCTTTTTATCCAACATGGGACCCCTGCCAGATCAGTCACACACACCACCCGAGCCCCAAGGCACAAAACCTGGCACCGCCCAGCCGGTACCTTGTCGCGACTCCATGTCGGCCGAGAATCCTCCAGACATAGCCAGCGGGGACGCTGCCCCAGTGGCGCGGACCCCGGAACAGTGCCCATCACCTCCCTCCTCCCAGCCAGTGGGCTCCGGTCGGGTAAGGCGGCCACCCAAGCGTTATGCACCTGAAACTGGCCTGTGGGTTAGGTCGTAAGTCCACTGCGCCTGTGTGTCACTCGGCTTCCTGGACTGGGGGGGATGCAGAGGTCACCACTGGCCACTAGGGTGTGCTGTGATCAAACCTCGAGGGAAAAAGATGTATTCAGGGATGTGCCTGAAGTCACATACATGTGACTATCCCCTTCAGGGACGTGCCTGAAGTCACATACATGTGACTATCCCCTTCAGGGACGTGCCTGAAGTCACGTACATGTGTCTATCCCTGACTGTACATACTGCTGCTTCTCATTTGTATTGCTGCTGCTCAACCATCACACTGCTGTCTATCCATGCTACTGTTCAACTTGTATCTGTAAGTCATCACCTGCTTGTTAAGCTAATGTAATGGTCACATTGTCAGGAACAAGTTAATAAGCATTTAAACCCGCAGCTTTCACACACTCATAATTACAACTGTCCATTAGAGACAGGGCTGAAATAACCTGGAGGGCCTTACCTGAAAGCTTGCACTGCAAAAGCAACGACCAAACGTCGCGAGGCCACTGCAGCGTCACCGCAATCCGCTCGAAAGCCTGGAAATACCCATCCACTTCAGTTTCTCGGAACGGTCAAAGGAGGGAGACACATTTGCTAACATCAAAGGCAGGCGGTAGTGGAGTGGCACCCAGAGGAGATGGCGAGGCGTCACGGGGCAACGCACTGGGAGGCGAAGACAAGGCCGAAGGACGGCCGGCCGCCATCTGGTTCGAGGAAGCGGCAACGTCCAGTGTCCTCATCTGAAGTTCTATTTCTCGGAGGCGAACCTCAGTGTCCATGTGCTTCAGGTCCATCTCATGTCGCAGATTTTGTTCGTGAGTCCTTTCCTCAGCCTGCATCTTAAGACAGGCAAGCCATAGCTGTAATGGAGCTCCCGTTAGCAGGGGAGCGAGGAGGACTAGCTCCAGGCGAAGCTGAATCTGGAGGAGAGCATTCAGCTGAGTCCTTTCCTGAAGAAGGCGGAGCCACGAAGTGGGTCTCCTTCATTTCTTCAAGCCAGTCCTCGTCTTCTTTACAGGAGGGCGGCAGAGACACACCTGGAGTGGACAGTGAAGGGAGGATCCCCTGAGTCTCCAGGTAATCCACGATGAACTGGCGCAGAGCATCTTTAGTTAGCTGTTTTGGGAGAGGCAAACTGAAGTGGGCGGCAACCTGCTGCAGGTTGGTTTTGCAGCAACTCTCCAGCAGCCAGCGCGAAGGAGCCGCCACAAACGAGGGCAAGTCAAATGAGGCCATGCTCAGTCTCTAAGGGGCACAAAACAATGTTAATATTTATACACACTCAAATAACGGGATAAAAATAGAAAAAATTCCTGGACGAGCCCCCACTCTATAATGTCCCTCAGCTCGTTTTGGAGTATGTGGTGGATGGAGTAATATACATTAGAGTGCGTGGTTAATAATAACAAAGTAAAGTGTCGCTGAACAAAGGATTTTATTACAAAATAATGGACTAAAAGATATTTGCAGTAAAACAAAAGACTAAATATATACACACGAAAACAAAAGGAGCTATATACAAATGAAATGGGTTTTAACAGAAAGCGCCAGCCCATAAGGGGTTGGGAATATCAATCAAAATACTCTAGCTAATATCCTTAACGAAAACGGGAGCAGGCCTGATAAGCAGGGTCGCTCAGGGCAATACTAAGTCTAATGTCACAAACTCCTCCTCCTAACCACCCCCTATGGACCTAACTGGCGGAGTACTACATTACCCAGCATACCCATCACCGGCGTGGGTTGACGACTCTGTTTAGGGAAGCGCCACCGCTGAGTTATCACTCAGTCATCGTCCGTGTCAGACATCGACCCGAGTTCTCAGGCTCACCAGCCCTCAAACCAGGAAAGAGATCTTTCCTCGCTGCCTACCACCAGTAAGTCAGCTTCCTTGTTTATTCGGAACTGCCGCTCAGCCTCGGCCCTTTCCGAGTGCTGCATCGCCGTTCCCAGATTAAAGCTGCGTGCTCTGTATAACCCAACGCCAGCCACTCCGCGTCTGGGTCACAAGCCACGCTACAAGCAACCTCTACTAAACATCAGCTCAGCCAATCTCACCTGACAGGATGACTGAGTCTCAGGTTGACCCAGCGGAGTTCGCTCATCTACGTGCAGAAGTTGCTCAACTGCACACCCTCGTAGATCGTCAGACGGCAGACATAGCCCGGCTTCGTGCCGTAGTAGATCGCCAGGCATCTAAGCTCGAGTCTCTCATCGAGTTAGTCGTCCAACTCTCCAATGCCCTCCAACGACAGGCTTCGGCCGCCAGTGACAACGTGGAGCCTCGTCTCAGCCTCCCAGACAAGTGGGATGGGACCAGGGGATCTCCAGAAGGCATGTTGACCACCCTGGCCATGACATTTGAATGTCAGCCGGCACACTACCCCACGTCCTGCTCTCGCATCGCCCTGCTGACCCCCCTGCTGACGGGTCGGGCCGGTGAATGGGCGGCGGCCCTTTATAACCAGAAGTCTCCTGTCTGCAACAGTTATGAGACTTTCGTGAAGGAGATGAAGAAGGCGTTTGTTCATCCCAGCAGCGAGGTCGCTGTTTCATCGACCAGGGACTGGTCACCCAGCTCAAGATACCCCTTACAGCTCTAGACCGACCCATTCCTGTCACCTCAGTGGACGGCCGTCCGCTCATGCCGTATTCTCTCACCCACCGAACCCTGGACCTCCGCATGACCATCAGTCAGCACAGGGAGACCCTTCACTTCCTGGTTATCAGCTGGTGAGTGATTGGGAATCTGGTGGAAGGGACAGGCGAGGCAGGAGCCACTGAGGCCATCTAGTGGCCCAAAAAGGGGAGCGTACACAACACAACACATGCAGTGAACCCCACTGATAAAAGGCGTTCACTGGTGGCTCAAGAACCAGATTAATCCGAGGTGAACCTGCTCTATTTTTCTCCGTTTATCAACACCTCAGATCCCGCTCCTAAAACATCTTTGGTTTTCTATACCTGGCTGTCAAAATCTTGATTTTCCCGTTTCAAAAGAAACTTTTACAATTGTCAGGCTTTTCTAATTCGAAAGTATCCCTGTCTATTTTCTATTGGCGGCTAAAGCAGGAAATAGGGCTAGAAGACAATTTTCACGTTTAGCCTCCACGTGTAACTCAGAGTCAAGTCAAGTCAAGTCAACTTTATTTATATAGCACTTTATAACAGCATAAAAGCTGACCAAAGTGCTTAACAAGACAAAAAGAACAGAAGTTCCCTAAAAATTCTAAAAACAAGATAAAAAGTTCATCACAAGGTAAAAACATGATAAAACAAACATATCAAATTGACATAAAAGCTACTAAAAACAGATGCATTCTCAAACTGAATTAAAAGCAACTGAGAACAGATGAGTCTTTAAGAGTGATTTAAAACCCGACAGTGACGAAACCATCCTAATCTGAATCGGGAGTGCATTCCACAAACTTGGAGCTGCTACTGAGAAAGCTCTATCACCCCTGAGCTTTCTCTTTGTTCTCGGCACCTCCAGGAGAAACTGGTCGGCTGACCTCAGTGACCGAGACGGGGAGAAAGTATCTAAAAGCTCACACAGATACTGCGGAGCAAGGCCATGTACAGCTCTAAAAGCCAATAAAAGAACCTTGTACTGGACCCTATAAACCACAGGCAGCCAATGCAGCGAAGCTAAAATTGGGGTGATGTGCTCCCTCTTTCTCGAACCCGTCATTAGGCGTGCTGCTGCATTTTGCACCATTTGAAGACGGAAGAGTGAATGATCTTATATGAAAAACAAGTAAAAAACATTTTTTTCTGTTAAATTTGCCTTTAATGTTCTTTTTCAAAGGGTTTTCTAAGAAAAAACCAGATGTGCCACAAGTTTTGTTTTTGTTGTTTTTATTACAAAAATGCAGAATCTGTCTACAAAGTTTTCTTTTGGGTGAATAAATAAATACATGCATTTCATTTTTCCATTTTAACTTCCCTTACAGGAGGGTGAGTTTAGTGTTACAAAACAAATTGTTAAGATCCAAGTTTCAATATTTGATTTTATGTCTCATAAGCTCACACGTTAGTTGTACTCCTCAGGAAGAGCACTGGTTCGTTTAATGTTGTTTTAGCGTGCAGGAAACAGCAAAGTACATCATGGCTAGTAGAAACTAACTGTTAGCATTAGCAACTCCACCACACAGAAGAACTCCTCCGGGCTTGTGTTATTTGTAAAGATAAAATATTAGTACAAACGGATGAGTAGTAGAGTTACGTTGCTGTTAGCCAATCTGAGGTAAGGACTCCAAATAGCAGGAAATAAGACTCCGAATCTTGCTGTCTGCTGTCACTTTCTCCTCCAACTGACTTCGCTGTGCTGAAACGGGTGCACCTGAGCTTTTTTTCTCCAGAGGACGACTTACAAGGCAACACATCCAGGCTTGTGATATTTGTGATATTTTACATTGCAAAGTAAACTGAGTCAGTGAGTTGCATTGCTGTTAGCCAATCAGAGGTGAGATATCCAAATATCAGGAAAGAGACCACTGCAAATCTATTGGTTAAACAAGAGTTCAGCACTTTAATGTTATTGTAATATTGACCCATAAGCTTCATGTGTTTTAAAGTATTTAATCAAGTGTTCTTATGATTTTATTGTTATTGTTGCGTGACCACTTTTAACAGAGTACAAGTGTTTATTCTGTTCCTCATTAACATCATTTCCTTCAGGCTTTGCACAATTATACCGGCCACCATAGTTGATTTAATGACATGTTGACATGTGGTATAAAGGGGACAATTGAGGATGGAGTCTGTAAAATACATGTCTTCATATAAAATTAAAAAGACTCCCCTTTAACACAGATGTCTGAACCTTCCCTCAAACACTCACAGGTGGATCCACTCCCCACCTCTCAACACAAAAAGTCTGTGCAGAGCTCTGGGAGCATGATGGAGGTTTAGAGTTGTGTAATAGTTTGTTGTGTTTGGCCTTAGTTGTTGAGCTCTCTTAGAAAACAGGAAGCTTCGCTATAACATCTTTGGATTTGGTGTTCGTAAAAATCAGTCCTCTCCCTATAAAGTTAAACAAGTTTCCACTTTTGAAAGCGCTTCAACCACTGGTTATAACGGACCTTGCATCAAGTTATCAGCTTTGAGTTTATTTCAGCGGCGTTCATCTCTTGCTTGTTAAAACCAAGTACAAGAGCAAAGTAGTTTTTACTGGCTGGACTTCAACTTTCCTCAAGCTTCTGTCGGAGAACTCGTAGGCAGTTCAGGGAGGATAATAAACCCAGTAGAAGTTTTAGTCCCGGTTTTCTCAGTTCCTCATTCTGAAAGGAACCTTTCACTGGTTTCCGTAAATTATTTCACTTCATTCCAGTTCATGTATTATAATATCGATGCAGATTATCTTTAATGTTTGCTCATTTATTGATCCAAGATTTTCCATTCGGTTGAAAAATTGTTTCATAAATAAACATTTATTCTTAAACTACCAATTCAGTGTTTTAAAGACCAAGTTCACTCGTTTTTGCTTTTCAACACATTTGCACAGGTCTCTATAAATGAATGCCTTTTTAATCAAGCTCATATGCTTCTGTTACAGGAGCTGAAAATGAGCCAGAGCCAAATAGAGCTTCAGACGACAGGTTTTAGAGTCTTTCCTGATTTTTGGACTCACCTCTGATTGGGTAAAAGCAATGCAACTCTACACTCTCTTTGTTTGTTTTGCAAAGTGGATGTTTTATCTCCACTAATAAGGCACGGCTGAAGTAGTTCTGCTATGTTGTGGAGTTGCTAATGCTAACGGTTAGCTTCTACTAGCCAAGGCGTGCTTTGCTCTCTCTCTCGCTCTCTCTCTCTCCTGGACGCTAAATCAACACCAGCCTTCCCTGCTGGGAGCCAAGATGAGTGAGTCCATGAATGCTAATTTGACAATGTGGCGTGCAACTGTCACTGGCTTTTCTAATCCAAGAGTTACCTTGTCTACAGGATTTTCTATCAGTGGCTAATGCAGGAAATAGGGGTAGATGTTTCTCGGCGAACTTGGTCTTTGAAGTAACACTAAACAGTATCTAGCTTCTCCATCCCATGTCATAAAAAACCTTGCAGCAGCTAGCACTAACAATGAGCTATCATTAACATGAGCCATCTGATATTAAATAATCCATTAATAAAAAAGATCCACACTGTAGGACTAAAAAAAGATAACTTACAAGTCGAGTAGAAGCAAAGCTAGGTCGGTGATTTTATTGCCTCCTTTAGCTTCCTCAGATGAGTGTATGCTGTGGGGATGTCCACTCAGGTTTTAGCTCTTTACTTTACCTCCAAAGACATTATTCTCTGACTTTTACTTCCAGGCTCCACCATGATGCCAACAATAAAGCAAACTTTGTTTTTTTTCTTCTTGTGTTTTTTTTTATTTATTTATTGTCAGTCAGTGAACTGAAAAAGATAACTGTTAGCCTTTACATTAGCTATCGGCACAGAAAATAGCCAACAGCTGTTAAGCAGGTAAAAGAGCGCCCCCTAGGGCACCTACTTGCTCCACAAATCTGTTTCTGGTCAGCAGATGGCTCTCCCATGTAAAGTTGGTAAAGTTTCTACTTTAACAATCACTGAACAATCACTTTCATGGCATTTTTCAAATCTTGACTAGGGGGTGGAGTTACATTTTCTGAAAGTGTGCAGTCTCTCTATTAAAGTGGGCGTTGCCAGGAGGCATGGACTTGCATGGCCAAGTGTGGGGAATTTCCATCTCGGGAGGGAGGTGGAGCGGGAGGAGACTGTACCGATGAGTGAAAATGTTCCAGCCCCAGTCAATCACAAGTTTAAAATGCAGTAGCCACAGTTCAACCCACAGGGGGCAGCACTCAGATAGTTATACAGTTCATAAGCAAAAACAAAAAAATAGTTATTTTGGGGTTTTGTTACTCTTTAAAACCACTTTGATGTAAATGAATTGTCCCTTTATGTTGGAGGTGGTGCCCCAAGCAAATTTTTTCTTAAATTTTTAACCATAGTTAATCCCTTTAAACCCATTGGCACATGCATAATATACAGTTCAAGATTAACAGAAAAAAAACAGCTTCAGCATTTCTGTATGGCTAACAAATTACAGGGTATGCCAGATTGGCTCATTTGAAAGCATCAGACATTATAATTACTTATGTAGTGCCTCACTTGGGTCAGTTAACATTATGGATACAAATACAGCTGCCAGGTAAATAAAAAAGCAAATGAAGTCTAGTACAACGTCTCTGTAGGAGTTGTGGATTAGTTGGATATAAGGCAAAGAATAAAAACAGCAGCTTCTAATCACTACCAACAGGTGAATTATTCTTCAGCCTTGTGCAACAAAAATGCACACATTTTAGATGAAGGCTGGAAAATCTTAAGACCAATAAGTCCTCAAGCTCAACTAAAGTCTTTGGCTGTAACACTACTTGTGTTGGGCAAACATCTGATCTGGGTATGTGGAGTGATCAGTGAGTATCACCAATTAGATATATGAACGTAATGCATGTAAACCCAGTCCAGAATACACACATTTGTGACGTGGTTTGTCTGAGAGCTGCGTTGTCAGACTGTAGGAGGATGCAACAGCAGAGCTAGTGAGCTTTTCTGCATGGGTTGTCTGACGTCTGGCAGCCCATGTTGGGTAATGTCACCAGCACTCGGAACAGAGTCCCATCTTCACACATGCACAGCTTGTACCTCTTCGGACCTTCTTTGAAAAACACGTCTCCTGCAGAGTTTGGGATGCGTGTGGTGTTAAACATGACGGATCCATTGAGAACAATGCTGTTTTCCTGCAAAAAAAACAAACAAAAACAAATCACCTTCATGCTGTGAAAATAATCTGATCCCTTCATAGATTTCTTTTGTCACACTGAAATGTTGCAAATGAAGATGATGTAGGCTAAAAGACCTCAAAAAGCAACACATTGTGTGCAAGAGGCAAAGGCAGAAGAAATCCGTAAAACATTTTCATAACTACCCGTTTATTTGAGTTGTAATCCAGTTCTTTATTTATTCATCAGCTTCGGAGGTCCGTGGACTGGCATGGCTTTTATAACATCTACATTAGAATGAACTAATGTAATGTAATACGGTAAGTCCAAGGTTACATTTGAGGCACACTGCAACAACTTATACTCACAGCCCTGAGCTCGATGTCTCCCCCCATTTTGAACTCTACTGTCCTGCCCATGATGTTCACTCCTTCATTGCCACGGATGACTGCCTTGCTGTCTCCCTTGATGTTCAGATCAGATGCTGCACTACTGGTGATCTAAAAGTTAGAGACAAACTATGAATAAAACAAATCTCATTGAATACATTATTGACATGACAACAAGTTGGGAGTTTTGTTCTTTTTCATCTTAGATACGTAAGATACTGTTCTTCATGTCCAAGGATTTATTTCAATGATGAATGACCCGCACTTGTGTAGCGCTTCTCAGAGTGAGGACTCCAAAGCTCTTTACACTACAGTTTATCATTCATCCATTCACACACTGGTGGGGATGAGCTACAATGTAGCCACAGCTGCCCTGGGGCGCACTGACAGAGGCGAGGCTGCCGAGCACTGGCAGCCACCGGCCTCTCCGACCACCACCAGCAGGCAAGATGGATTAAGTGTCTTGCCCAAGGACACAGGAGCAGAATTCTCTGTCTGGAGCCGGGATCGAACCTGCAACCTTACAATTACTGGACAACCCGCTCTCCCTGTTGAGCTGCTGCTGCACCGACACAGGTCAGTTATGATAAACTGACCCTATAAGACCACAGCCAAGTAGTCTAAACCTTATCATTACTTTAATGCAGATATATGAAGATTTTTGCCAGAGGGCGCCATCTAGGGTGACCAGATGTCCTGCTTTGTGCGGGACAGTCCCGCATTTTAATTACTTTTAATGTGTCCCGCAAATTGAGACTCAAGTCCCGCATTATTGACAGTTTCCCGTTTCGAGTTTCAATCTTATAGAAGAAACTGTGGTGAAATCTGCCTGTTGCTGTCGATTAAACGGAGGTGGGACTTTAACGCCGATCCGGAGCGTGTGTGGAGCGCACCTGAACCACCAAAACAAGTGTGAGTGATCACAGAGGAGAAAATGTTGTAAACTCGAGAATTAAACATGTTCAGAGATCCTCGACAGAGTTTTTGTTGTTTCTGAGTCATTCTTTTCTGTCTCGGCACGGAGTCTGATATGAAGAGATCAAAAGCAGGTTTTCCAGTAACTAGACAGGTCCATAATAAACACAATGGAGGTTCTAACACAGACAAGGTGCTGCGGTTTCAGATGGCTGCTACACGCTGAGCCCTTAAAGCACAGTGAAGAAATAATGGAGAGAATAAATGGAAGTTTTAATCAATTATTCTCAGAAATTTGAGGCAAAAAGTAACTCTAAGAAACATTTATTAGATTAGATCTGAATATTTTAGACATTAGAATCTGATGTTTATTCTCTCACCTAAAATCTAGAAGAGATGTGTTGTCATGTTAAAAAAATCATTTTATTTCTGAATTAAGAAAAAAATAGCAAAAAAGTCAAGATATTTTTTCAATGAGATGCTGATTTTATATATATATATATATATATATATATATATATATATATATATATATATATATGTGTGTGTGTGTGTGTGTGTGTGTGTGTGTGTGTATTCCCATCTCAACCTCTGCGGGTGATCTCATCCTTCCAAGCTCGGGTCCTCTTCCAGAGGCCCGTGAGCTTGAGGGTTCTGCAGTATCTTAGCTGTTCCTAGATCTGCACGTTTCTGGACTGAGATGTCTGATGGTTTTCCTGGGATCTGCTTTAGCCTCTCCTCCAGTTTGGGGGTTACTGCCCCGAGTGCCTTGAAGACCACGGGCACCACCGATGTCTTCAATCTCCAGGCTTTCTCAAGTTCTTCTTTGAGGCCCTGGTGCTTCTCTGGTTTCTCATGTTCCATTTTTCCTGATGTTGCATCACTTGGTATTGCCACATCAACCACAACGGATGTCCTCTGCTGTTTGTCCACCACCACAATGTCTGGTTGGTTCTCCATTACCATTTTGTTAGTCTGGATCTGGAAGTCCCACAGAAGCTTGGCTCTCTCATTCTCAACCACCTTATGAGGTGTTACTTACTTTGACCTTGGGGCTTCCAGTCCGTACTCTGCACAGACGTTCCTGTACACAACACCAGCCGCTTGGTTGTGCTGTTCCATGTACGCTTTCCCTGCCAGCATCTTGCACCCTGCAGTTATATGGTGGATTGTCTCAGGGGACTCTTTGCATAGCCTACACCTTGGGTCTTGTCTGGTGTGGTAGATCTTGACCTCCATTGCCCTGGAGATTAGGGCCTGCTCCTGTGCAGCCATGATGAGTGCCTCTGTGCTGTCCTTCAGATCAGCTCTTTCTAGCCATTGGTAGGATTTCTTGATATCAGCCACTTTGGTTATCTGTCAGTGGTACATCCCACGTAGGAGTTCATCCTTCCACGATGGTATTTCCAGCATCTCCTCCTCTATTCGCCATTGTCTGAGACATTCACTGAGCACGTCATCTGTTGGGGCCTTGTCCTTGATGAACTTATGGATCTTGGATATTTCATCCTGCACAGAGGTTCTCACACTCACTAGTCCTCTGCCTTTTTCCTTACGGCTAGTGTAGTCTCACGGTGCTGGATTTGGGATGGAACCCTTCATGCATGGTTAGGAGCTTCCATGTAAATAACATTTATTTATTTTAAAGATTTACTTGTCCACAGGAAATGCTGCCCACTCTGCATCTCTCTAGGTACTTCTGCAAATGTGTGGACATGCTCTGTGATAGACATCTATACATGAGCAGATGTCCAACGCTGTTAGCCAACAATGAGCAGCAGTCAGTTCAGTTCACATTGCATGGGACTGTATGGGACGGGGTGAGCTTAGCAGAAACGAATGATGTTATTACCTACATTATCTCAAAGAACTAAGCAAGACCTCCAACATAAGTCCTGAAAGGAAAAAAACTCTGGATTGTTTCTTTAAAGTTCCATAAGTGTACAACTTCCCACTGTGGTATTAGAAACATTATTTACTTTGGTAATTGGGGCCACGGTGGCAGAGTAGTTAAAAGTCTGCCCCGTAATTGGAAGGTTGCAGGTTTGAGCCCTGCTCAGGCTGTCGCTGGTGTTGTGTCCTTGGGCAAGACACTTATCCCACCTTGCCTGCTGGTGGTGGTCGGAGCGACGGGTGCTGTATCTCTCAGTGAGCCCCAGGGCAGCTGTGGCTACACTGTAGCTCATCACCACCGGGGGGGGGGGGGGTGAAAGACTGATTGTGGTGTAAAGCGCTTTGGGCGGTTCTAGTACTCTAAAGGACACTATATCAAATACAGGTCATTTACCATTTGTTTCTTTTGCAAAAGCATATTTTTTTCTCCAATTCTCGATCATGTGATAGCAACACCTCTTGCCCAGATTGTGAAACACACACTTTGCAATCAGCTACTAGCATGATACACACCCTTTCAGTAGAGGCCTTTTTAACACTGAGGACCTTGACTCCTTTTGGCAAATTGAACTCATGGTTTTCAAAGTCTGTGCTGAAGAACGTGGTCTGTGTCCGAGGGTCCGTGAAGGATAAGCCAACATCACTGATGACTGAGGTCTTGTCCTTCTCCACACTGAGCTTCGTAGATCCTTGCTGGAACACCACCTATGGAATACACACATGGAATAAAAGACAGTCGCTCTAGAAGTGTGTAGTTTTCTTTTAAAGTGGCTGATTGTGGACTTGCCATCTTACCGGATTGTTGTTTCCAACAATGACCAGGTCCTGGTCTTTACGGCCCCCTACGGTGCTCTTGTGCAGAGGGTGAACGATTCCCATGTCAGCTTTCTGCTTGAAGCGCAGCAGGCCACTCTCATGGAACTCCATGCTGTCGCAACCACTCGGGCCGATCCGGATCACTGTCCATATAACCAGCGTAATCTGATGAGACAGCCAAGATGAGGAAGACTTAAAAAACCTTTTATTTCATTCAGAAAGTTTATGTGATGAAGACATAAACGATCACACTAACAATGAGGTTAATTAGGGCAAAGAGAAAGAGGAGAATGATAATGCAAACAGCCATGTTTCCCTTGCGTCCTCTCAGCCCTGTTTTATGGAGACGCTCCTCTTCGATGGGCACATAGCCAGCTTTGAAGTTACTGTTGTGTTCCTTGTTGATGTTGCGTCTTTCAATGGCCTTCTCTCGCATGGACTTCTTCACGGGCCCATTGGAATTCTCCTGCATTTTTAACAGAGAGAATTACCACAATACACCTGAAGTTCATTCTAACGTCAGTTTACCCACCCCATCTACCTAATCTTAAACTGAGTCATAAAAACACTGATAATATTACACCGTTCTGTCAAAAGTATTTGCCACCTTATTGTTGGCTTTTGTTCTGTTTTGCTCTTTTTGTCACACATAAATATTTCAGATCAGTCATCAAATTTTAACACCAGACAAACATAACCTGTGTAAACCAAACCCAGCTGGCCTGATGTGAAAAAGAAACTGAACACTAAATTTATTGGCAGGTTGTAACATTCTTGGCAGCAGCAACGACTGCAATCATGCTTTTTAATAACCGGTAATGAGTCTCAAATCACTGTGGGGGAATTTCGGTCCACTCAAAGTGGGTCACTTTATCATTAGACAGCTAGGATCCATTCATGAATTATACTTATTTTTAATGAAATTAGGTAGAATGTAGGGCTAAACAATATGGAAAAAATCATAATGATGAAGAGAAATTAACATTGATCAATATTAATAATGATTAAAAAGTATCCCAAAAAATGTAGAAAATGTATTTTAAGTGCAGCCCTAGCCAATGAACTACTTTCAATAAAGAACACACAAAAACTGAATTAAATTCAATACTCTTTTAAACATCTATTATTACTAGGGCTGGACAATTGCTTTTAGAGATTAATGCAAAAGATTTTCTAGAAGAAATCGTGTTTTCTTTTTTTTTTTTTCCCCGTGTCCCCTCTGGCTGTGAAGCAAACAGAATTGAACAGAATTGATGTCTGAATGCTGGTAACAAGCCTTACAGATTTACTCTCAGGTGGAGCATCAAAGCGTCTGCTTTTAATGTCACGCCTGATACTTAAAACTTTATTGTTATTGTTTTTGAATGCTTTGTAATTCCGACCAGACACGGAGACAGAGGTGAAAGAGAAAGGAAAAGACAAAAGGTGTGTGTGTTGGGGGGGCTTCCACAAAAATAAACAATAATGAACAAGAGTCTGCTTCTAGACCCGCAGAAAGAGAAAGAAGAGAAAAAAATAAAATAAAATAAAAAATAATAAAAAGGGGACACACAACAATACAACAGGAGCAAGCTATCACTGCGTCAACTTGAAGAAATATACAGTCAACATTGTTTTACTGAACAATCACACGATAATAAATCATAGTGCATTTAGTGCCAACCACAGCCTACAGACATGTGTTGAACGTGCCCAAGTCCATACTTATGAGAGCACCATGTGAGCACCTGTGTGTGTACACGCGCTTGTTTATGTAAGGTTTCTCTATAAAAGCGTCCAATAGAGTGTGAGGGGCCACAGATCTGCCCCCCAAAAATGTGAAGGAGATGGAGGGAGCTCCAAGTCCCAGAGATCCAGGCGCTGCCCCAGAATACAGGAACCCCAAGGAGACTGCGACCAGAAAGACCCCCGACCCCCTCGAGAGGCGCAGAGGATCGCCCCGGGGGGCCACAACCAGCAGCCGGCAGAGTCCCGGGAGATAACAGCAGCAAGCCCACAGGCCCGCCCGCAGCCTCCCACCCCCTAGCCGGCCGAGCCCGGGACCCAGCGACCCGGAACCCAGGGGCGACCACCCCCGCCAGGGACCCAGCAGAGCCCAGGGACCCAGACCCCACTAGGCAGCCACCGGGATTGATCAGGCAGACGCCAGAAATCTTAAACCCCCTGACCCGGAAGCCACGAACATTCAGGCAGACCAAGGCACCACACCCCACACCAGGTGTGGCAGGGGGAGGGGAGACGATGATCTATATCATCAAAAGAAGTCCCAGGAGAGGGGAGGAGTCAAAGGCCCCACCTGACATATACAGTCATACACAAACACAGTCACACACTCCCTCCCTCATGCTCACACACACACATACAACCAAAGACTTACAAAAATGCACGCCAGACACCCACTCATGCTCCCCATACACACCCTACTCACGCTGGTCCCGGTACTGCTGCACATGGGGTACAACCATTACCGGTTACCAGAGTTTGACCCTTTCTGCTGTGATGCTGTTGAGCAGGCTCCCCCGCCCAACGCTGAGCACAGCAACCCAGCACCCCAGACCCCAACCAGATGGCCAGATCTCCCTCCTAGCCTCCAGCCCCAGGAAGCCAAGCAACAACAGAGGTGTGCTAAGACCCCTAGTCTCCCTCCGCCTTCTCCAATATAGTGTTAGTGTGTGTTGATGAGGTGTATTCCATGGCTGTGGTGAGCGGGCAGTGCAGGCATTGTCTGGCCTATGCCAGCTGATGCCACCGCACCACCCCACTTGCACCCACAGCCCTCGGTGTCTAAGTGCAGTTTAAAATTGGAAGTGGGCACCGGCACTCGGGATGAGGCTGAGAAATCCCCCTGCCAACTGCTGTTGAATGTGCTCACTCCCAAGGCCCTAAGTGTTCGCGTGGAATGTCATTGGTGGAAGTGTTTAAGGTGCAAATAAAATTGGGGGGCAGGTTGCCACAGGAATGCGGAAATGGGGTCCATACCCGCAATTCCAGACTTGTCCACCCCCCAAGGTCCTATGTGTATGTTTGTGTGATGATGTGAGGGAGCAGGAGGAGAGAAATATGCGGGGATGGGGAGGAATGGCTGGTTGGGCTTAGCCCTCCAGGGAGCCAGCTCCCCTACTGGCCCCAATAGGCACCTCCGTTGTCAAAATGCCACCCAGGGCATGGAGACCCCAGCCCATCCTGCCAGGGCCCAAAGCAGCAGCATTGCAGAGCCTCACGGAGTCCGAGGGCACCAACCCAGCCCCACCCCAGCAGAATATCTACGCCCATCCCTGCATTTGCACAACTTCCAGAATATATAAGACATAGGACATCCAGGTAAGGTTGGCTCCTCCCCCTCCTGGACCTCCCCCTCCCCTGTGATGGGACAGCAGAGGAGCCAAGGTCTACCCGAGGCCCCTGAAATTATGATTTCAGTGAAATTCCTGATTTTCTTCAAATTAAGGTTCGGGGCATTATTCACAATATACGGCAATATTTATACACATTACAAGACATGGCATCATGCCATCAAAACATTAAAAGCTATTATTTTTTCTCCTATTTTTATCATCCAGAATGGTATGTTCATGTTATTGAGGTGTAAGGACCACATACCAAAGATGAGTGTGAAATTTGGATCCTACCACCACCATGTTTGAATACTAGTATGATTTTCACTGAAATACAGTGCTAGTTTTACTCCAGCTGTAACTGGATACATATCTCCCAAACATTTATACTTTAGACTCATCATTTCACATCATATTTCCCAAATGTCATGAAGTTAATCAAGATTTTTTTGGGTGAATTTCAGACAGACTTTTGTATTATTTTGGTCTGCAAAGCCATTTTTGTCCCCTGACCCTTTCTAATCACATTTTGACCACAACAATAACCGAGTCTGGTCTGTGTTTCTTTAGATGTTTTTCTGGGTTCTTTTGTTCTTGATTTTTTTTAGGAACAGACACAATGAGTTACGTTTGAGATTATTTAGAAATGGTAGACCGATGTATCAGTCGGCCGATATATCAGGCCGATATTTACTGTGTTTTTTATATCAGCAAAGGCCAATATTCACCCTGTGTAAGGTCGATTTAAAATCAGGTGAATTCCTGGGCAGCCCGGTGTTGGTACCAGATCTTCTTAGGTGTGTTCTTGCTGTGTCTTGATTCTAATTCCATGCTGTTGTTCTTTTTTCCTCTTTGTTCCTCTGCTGCCCGCAGATAAACGAAGAAGGAAGTGACGCGCCACCATCAGCGTCAGCCTGAGGAAGTCTGCAGCCGCAGACGAAACGTAGCGAAAAAACAGGTAACGGAACCGTTTCTGAGTTTTAAAAAAGAACGACAGCATGGAATTGTACCAGATCTGCTCGGGGGTCCTGCATCTGCAAATTACATCACAGTAGATGATTGGCTGAACATAAGACTTACGGAAGTTACGAAACCACGTTCGTAAAAGCTACGTTAGCACGTTAACAACGATGATTTTGATTGGTCAGAACAAATTTACGGTTATAGTCTTAGCGGTTGTAGTCCTGTAGTCCAAAAATCAACACTTTTCGTAGAAAATATGTTTGAATTTCCAAAATATAAAAGCAAAACTGATAAACAGTGAACCTCAAAAGCTCTTGACGATAACTTTGATGAAATGGGGCTAAATAAAATATAAGAACTTTATTGAAAAGACACCAAGCAACATTTTGAATGAATGAATGAATGAATTCACATAACAACTAAGGAAATACACAGACGAATTCCACATTAACACAAACAGATATGGCTTCACATATAAGAAATGTGTTTCTTGGCAGTCTGATGTTGGTTTTATGTAGTTTCACATTCTTTATAAAACAGACAATATAGTGTTTTATTAACAAATTACAATTATAAAGAAAATATTTAGGAGTTAACAAACAAGAATTTATTAACAAAACTGCTGATCTCTTTCCAAAGCTTCAGTTTGAAAGCACAGTGGATTTGCCGGAATGTGACCTCATCAGCAGGCGCAGGTAGACCTCCTTCTTCACATAAATCAAATCATTTGAAAACTTGTATTTACTCGAGTCATTCTTGTCTGATTTGAAACAGTTAAATGCGTCAAAAGGAGCAAAACTGTGGTAATCTGTGAGGGGCAGATCCTTTTTACTGGCTCACGTTTACCATGCTAATTTTCATATTAATTTAATGTTCTTTTTCTTCAGATGGATTTCTTTATAAATGTCTAATACGTTTCTACACTCACAGTAAACCCGAATGAGCTCACTGCCTTGGAACGCTCTGCGACAGCCACAAACTAAAAATAAACCACTCATTTTAGGAGCATTGCCAGTGGGCTTTTCCCTCCGTTACTTCTTGTTTATATTCTAATTATATCTACATCTTTGTTGTTAAACACATTATTCTTGTGCGTCAATTATAATAATCACGTCTAAATGCATGCAAAACGCTACGCAGAGGCCAATTATATTCTTCATACGGTACTACACCGAATATTTCCATCCGCCACAAGAACAACACGCAGTATAATTAAATACACAGCATCAGTGGTACCAGTAAATCACTCAGAATAATATAGCGTCACTCTTTGACCTGTGTACAGTCTCTGACAGAAACAAAACATGAGATAACGGACCTGCTCAGACGCCATGTTGACCCTGCCTCCTCTGACTGCTGGACGGTGGGGAGCGTACCACTGTTCACCCGTGGAGGGGACAAACCGGAGATTTTAGTCCTGCAAAGGCAGGAAATATTCAGATATTAATAAACATTAATATACACAATTATAATCGGACGTAAAGCGAACGTTTTATATTTTATTAAAGCTTGATAGTCACGCAGAAGGTGCTAATTCGTTGAGAAAAAGATGGTACGTGCCATCATCAACCAGCCAATCACAGTAAAGATTCTAAAATAGGAAGCGCTCCATTCATTTTCCCATAGAAACTGGAACCTTAAACGCTTCATTTGGAAAATAAAATAAAATGAAGGATATATGAAACTCTTTTGATGATCACAATTTTGTGCAATATTGTTTTAATAAAATAGTCTAATTGTATTGTTTTACTAAATGTTCCTGCTCTTTGCACATCACGACCATTTATTTTTAGTATTATGACGATGATTATTATTAAGTTGTGAAATTTTATTTTTCACATAAGCAATGAAAGATGAGAACATTCATGCAATATGCAGCCCGCTGTTTTTATTATTCAACGTTTTGTGTATTTTTGTATATTGTTCTAAAACATTGTTCCAAACTATAATTCGTTTTATCCTTTTATGCAGCCTAGATTATTAAAATATTTTAGAATTGAATTTGTTAGCTGCACAGGGCCACCAGCAGGCAGAAATATCAGCACCGCTGTGTTTCTTGGATTCTGCAGGCGTTTGGTATCGCTTGACAGTGTGACGTTACAGTCGAGCAGCCGAGAACACATGAAAACAACCTATGGAGGACAGACGAGGCGGTGTGTGTGCTACTAGGCTACAGGGATTTTTACTACTGCTGCTCCCCTCTTCCTCCTCCTCCTCCTCCTCCTGGAGCGCTTCAGAGCTGTGAGGGTTGTTTCACCTGGGCAGACATGGCAGACACTTTGAGGAGACTTACCAATACTTCTTCGTTTAGCGTGTTGCAGGACAAGCTGGAGACCTGGTACAGGGACTACCATGTAAGTTTATCAATTAGTCATGATCGACCTAACTCTGACCAAAGCGTTCACGCTGGCGGGACTACACATTTCAGTTACTCCACGATCATGAACTTTTGAACTAATATCAATTTCGCTAAAGTGGAATTAAAAAGCAGGAAAAATTTGCTTTTCGACTAGAATAAGAAACTATTTGCGTCCTCCGAACATTTCCATCTGATCACAGGTCATTTTGATTTATTTTGTTATTTGATTTACTTTTTTTTTTAGAAACGTTTAAAATGCATGAAGTGGGAAACAAATGAATGCTTGGATTACATTGATTTCTCTACAGAGTTTGGTTGCTATGGACGCAAGTTTCCATGGGAACGGTTGAACTATTTCAAAGATCCCTTTCACCATTGTAGAGATAGTTCACCTCCTCTTGCTTCTGGTAGAGGCATGGCTCAGATAGCTACTCCAGAAGCAGTACAAACAAATAGAAATTAGGCTATTTGTGTCAACTTCAAAAGAGTTTTTTATTTACAAACCCAGCTGTAGAAATAAGAACAGAATTAGCATTTTAAAGTGTAAAAAAGTAATGAATGTAACACCCGGTCTCTGTAGGGGTAATATACTGAATGGAGTAGCTAATCTCTCCAATAGACTATAGTTATAGAAATTATGGATAAGTGGCAAATTCAAACCTGAAATGACTAAAACATAAGCGCTTTGGGGCCTCGGTGTGATTCTGGGCTTCATCTCTAAAGACAAGAGAAATACTTCTTGTGTTAAGAGATGCAAATCTGGCTATACATCCAGTAGTTAGATGTCACGTGCAGCGGAGTTGAGTGGTTGAGGTGAGGATCCAAATGCAGGCAGTAATGTTCAATAAAGCATAGGCTGAAAAATACAGAAGAAAATGTACCCAGCTGTCACTTGTGATTGTAAACATGTACAGTTCTCTTGTAGGCTCACATCTATTTGCTTGAAACATGTGTACTGATTCCTGTTATTATGGATGTTGTAACAGTTAAGGGTAATACCCGTTGCTGGAAAGCAGGTGACAATGTTTTTTGCTTGCTAGTAAAACCCTGCCAGTCCAAAAAAAGTTGCCACCTGGATTTACCTAAGCAAATAGGTACAATTCTTCAATTGGATAATTACTGCATGGGCGATTATCTTTCAACTGGCAACAAGTTATTTAACACCAACTAGTGCAATGAGTTGCTTCTCATTTCTTAAACAAGCAGAGAAAACATCTAAGGAGATTGTAGAAACGACTAAAACTGGGTTAAGGACTGTCCAACGCTTTATTAAAAACTGGTCTGATGAGTCCAGATGGACCCTGGTCCAGAGTGATGGTGCATCAGGGTAAGAAGTGCGGCAGATGAAGTGATGCATCCATCATGCCCAGTGCCTACTGTACAAGCCTGTGGAGGCAGTGTTATGATCTGGGCTTGCTGCAGTTGGTCAGGTCTAGGTTCAGCAACAGGATGCGCTCCAAGAATGAGGTCAGCTGACTACCTGAATATCCTGAATGACCAGGTTATTCCATCTTCCCTGATGACACGGGCATATTCCAAGATGACAATGCCAGGATTCATCAGGCTCAGATAGTGGAAGAGTGGTTCTGGGAGCATGAACATCATTTTCACACATGGATTGGCCGCCTCAGAGTCCAGAACTTAACCCCATTGAGAATCTTCATGCAGGGATCACACTCTACCATCATCAATACAAGATCTTGGTGAAACATTAATGCAACACTAGATGGAAGTAAATCTTATGACGTTACAGAAGCTTATTGAAACAAAGCCACAGCAAATGTGTGTGTAATCAAATCTAAAGGCGGTCCAACAAAATGTTAGTGTGTGAAATTTTCTTTTCTGGTGGCGGCTTTTCTTTTGGCCAGGCAGTGCATCTTAGAAACCACTGGATGGATTTTAATGAGACTCAGAGATTTATAACCAGCTTAAAGATAACTGTAGCTCCATCATTAATAATATGGTGACTGGTCTGTATTTGTAGAGCCTTCCTGGGGTTCTGCAACCCCCGAAGGCGCTTCACAACACAACCAGTCATCCACACACACATTCACACAATGGTGATGACAAGCTACAGTGTAGCCACAGCTGTCCTGGGTTACACTGATAGAAACGAGACTGCCAAACACAGGTACCAGTACCACCAGTCCCTCCGACCACCACCATCAGGCAAGATGGTTAACCCTCTGGAGGCAGGCGTTGCAGATGTGCAACGTTAAAACCTGCCTACCTGGTTACTCCGCACACGTGTTTCATGAACATTTTTTAACTCAGAAGTACCCCTGAAGGACTTAGTTGTTCGTCCTTTTATCAAAGCTTATTTTGAGCCTGAGAGGGTTAAGTGTCTTGCCCAAGGACACAACAGCAGAATTCTCTGGCGGGAGCTGGAATCCAACCGATGATGCATGATTGCTGGACAACCCACTCTTCCTCCTGAGCTACTACTGTCCATACATTTTAATTGTTGACCTTTACTAACAGAGCAACTGTGCATCCTTGTCTCAGCACCAGTAAAATAAATAATGCCTCTAATATTTGAACCTCTCCAGGTCATTTCCTGTGATCAGAATCTGAACAGATGTTGTGAGTTGATTGAACTGACTGCTAAGATCCAGGGACAACTGTTTGCTATCCTGAATCTCACAGCAGCTGAAGGTAAGCCATTTTGCCTTCCTGCACACTTGTTTCTTTTAATGAGCAAACTTTAAAGCCAATCTGAACTTCTATGCCATAAATCAGGCAGTCACTACGCTGGAGTTGATACTCTGAAGACACGACTGCTCCCGTGGCTGGGGACATGCTTCTCCATATCGAGGCCATCCGTCACAGATGACACAAGTCTGCAGCTCATCCAGGTGCCTCCATTTGTCATTGAATCAGTTGTACGCGGTGCTGTGGTTTCTGTGTTGGCTCTGTTTACTGTGAATATTTGTTTTTCATCAGGATTTAGCAGAGAAGGAAAGAAAGATCAGGGAACTCTCTGTCTCCCATCAGAGCGACACGGAGAAGATGGAGACTCGGCTGAGCTCTGCTCGTCTACAGCTGGAGTCCGTAAGAGGAGAGTGAGTCTATCACATCGCAGTTCATGTTGGTGCGAAGTTTGGATGAATGAAGCCCTCTTTAGGTACTTTTTCTTTTAACAGGCTTGTGGATGCTCAGACTGCTCTAGATGAGACCAGGAACAAGTCAGCGACTACCCTACTTGCTACTGAAGAGGAAATCTTACAGCTAAGGGCAGAGTGGGTGATAAATGTAGCTACTATGATTAAACAGTTTTCATATGCGATTATGTATTTTTCAAAAGGTGTGATCTTTGTGTTGTAGTTTGCAATCTGCCCATGAGCAGGTGGGAATTTACAAGAGGAAGCTGGATGCTCTCGATGACTACGAGAGACAGATTCGCTTGTTGAAGGAGGAAGTGTTCTATCTGAACTCAGAGAAGGCCATGCTGCAGGAGAGGTACGCTCACACACACACACACACACACACACACACACACACACACACACACACACACACACACACACACACACACACAGAGTTGCTCTTTAATCTGTTTTCCTCTACAGATTGGTGCGAAGTCGCTCTCCGAGCCCTGTGAGGAGTCAGTCGCCCACCAGAGCCCAGCTCACTAACTCTTCCCGCCGTGCACGCCTCGTCTCACGCTTCAGCGATCTGTACGCTGTGGAGCGTCTGGAGGCACAGAGCATCCTTCGGCGCTATATCCCTGACTTGGAGATGGTCCAGAAAATTGTCTTCATTGCTGTTGTGGTAAAATGAAATGATACCCAACAATAAATTATGGGCATAGAAATCACTGAAGGAACTGACAACATTGACCACCGATAGTGTCAGAGTTTAGTTTAGTTTAAATGGTTAATGGTCTGTATTTGTATAGCACCTTATTAGGGTTCTACGACCCTCCAAGGCGCTTCACAGTACAATCAGTTATCCACACATTCACACAATGGTGATAAGCTACAATTTAGCCACAGCTGCCCTGGGGCGCACTAACAGAGATGAGGCCTGCCTCACACTGGCACCATCGGTCCCTCCCACCACCACCAGCAGGCAAGGCAGGTTAAGTGTCTTGTCCAAGGATACAACAGCAGCCTTCTCTGGTCAGAGCTGGGATTGAACCTGCAACCTATTTTACTGGACAACTTGCTCTACCTCCTGAACTTCTATTAGTTTTAGATCAGACTCCCTTTTAACAGGAAGAAACCTCCAGAGGATCCTGACTCAGTAGAAGTAGCTCTCCGTCATAGACATAGCACACACACACACACACACACACACACACACACACACACACACACACACACACACACACACACACACACACACACACACACACACACACACACACACACACACACACACACAACGATACAGAGACGAGTGTGTGTGTGTGTGTGTGCGCGTGTGTGTGTGTGTGTGTGTGTGTGTGTGTCTTGACATGTGTGTGTGTGTGTACTTGTCTTTATATGCTTAAGAGGACAAATTTCAACTTAACCCGTAGTGTGTGGATATTTCCACATTGTGGGGACGTCTGGCTTGTCCACACAATGACAAAATACCCTTAAAGAGCAAGTCAGTCCAAATCACCATTTTTTTTTGCTGATAAACTATATAAATGAGTGTCCAATTGTGCTGTAGACAAATGTAGTCAATTATTCGGCACTTTAGTGCATCTTAGTTAAAATTTAAATATTGTGCCTAAAACTGTCAGTGTTGCACCGTCGTCAGGCAAAAACTCTGCACTGCATTTGAATTTAAATCTGCCATCGCTATTGGCTAACCCCCAAATTCCACTACCTCCGCTCCGGTCTGCCCCCGCCTTCCGCAGCCGCTCGCTCCCGAACTCAATTTTTACTGGTACCCGCTCTACAACGGCTCCGTTCCGGTGCGGAGACCTGAGGTGGGCAAACAAGCATGCGCGGGATTTTCGAGATCTTGCGATACAGTCCGAGCAATGAACGCGGAAGCTAGATCCAAACACCCGTTGTGTGGGAAAAGCATTGAAATGAACTGTTTAATCTGCCCATCATTTGTGTTGAGAGATCAGCAGTGTTTGGATCAACAAAGGGTGACTACTTTGATAGTAGAAACTGTATTTATGGCTTACTTTTGTGCATTTAAACTTCAGCCGCCATTGATAGTTGTTAAAAGTTGTTAAACCTGTGCATATGAAACAAAAAACGCCTTTTGTTTATCGATTTATTGTGAAAAACGGAAGCTGTGCTCGCTCCTTTTCCTGTTGGGTGGTTGTGATTTCTGTCCATTTACTGCGGAGGTGCTCCGGCGTCCGGCGAAAATAGGATCGATTCTATTTTTGCCAGACACCGCAACAGAGGGCGGCGCACGGCGCCGCACTGCCGGCGCACGGCCGCAGTAGTGGAATTGCTCTGATTGACTACAACGGGACCGATTTTGCTCCGGCGTTCGTGTCGGAGCGGAGCGGCGGTAGTGGAATTTGGGGGTGAGAGGTACACTATGATGTTAGATGGTACATTATGATGTCACAATGTTGTGAGTGTGTGTATTTGTTAGAGGCTCCGCCCTCTCGGTCTGCTACGCAACAGCATTTGTGCATTTTTCAAACAGGAAGTGGGAGTTGAGTAAGAATCTGGCAGGGGGTGACTTGCTCTTTAAACATGGGTTTTAGATGAATGGCGTGAATTAACTTTTGATTTAGATTAAAGTTAGGAATTATTTCCCCAAGATGAACCAATGAACAGTATGTGACGGGATCTGTGACTTAATACCGTTTTTGCCTTGTTTAATGGAGCAGTGTGTAAGACTATAGAGACTTTTACAGTGAGAAAATGAGTCTAATGTCGTTTTGGACTGAAGGATATACTGAAACATATTTCACATCCAGCTGGCTGTGAGGATTGTCAGTTTTTCTCCTTTCAGAACAAAGGCAGAAAGAACATAAGTACTGTTTACCATCAGTGAGTGTGGGGTTGCCGTGTCTCCTGCGAGCTAATACTGCAGCACCGACAGCTGTAATTGGCCAGAGGTGTTTAAAATTGTTGCAGTAAACAAATTTTACCACTGGATGTAATTTTTACTTCATTTCTACATAGCTCACCTTTAACACTGCAAAGCATCTAGAATTTTTTGTTTGTACTTGCTTGATACTTAATATGTGATTTCTAGCTCATTTTAATATCTTCCAATCCAATCCAATCCAATTTTATTTATAAAGCGCATTCACAAGGCATTACAGCCAAACAAGGCGCTGTACACTAGAAATGT